AATGCAGCAGGCTTTGTAGTGCAACCTTTTACTCCTATCTCACCCCCTACGTGTCCAGAGGCCTTTGAACAGCAAGCGAGTGGCACTTTGAAATCAGGAGTTGAAAGTGTTTGACATGGAAAAGGGAGCATGAAAGTCTTGCTCTTTGAACCTTTTCTTTTCAAAGTCCCACAGAAAGTACAGGCAGGACAATAATGGACAGGCTAGGGCTCCCAGGGTGAAGTGGGGATATGTGGTAATGAGGTTTTAAGTGTTTCAGCAATCGTTCCGCCCCACAGTTTCTTCCCTGATGTACTCCCAGAGAATTAAATCTGCTGCCAAGATAGCACAGAAATATTTAGTTAAATATATATTCTTATATTCTCTTTCCCTGCTTAATTCCTTCCATAAGTTGCTGAAATGAAGTTGAGCTGATGGAAGCAGGAAAGAGCGGTCAAAATTACCATTAGGTTGCTGACTATTGATGGAAGATCCATTTTTTTTTGTTTGTTTGTTTTGTTTTCCAATTAAATGAAGCCAGATGCACAGTAAATGTAAGTTGCACGAGAAATGCAGCCAGCTGTTGCATCAAAGGTCAGGCACAAACCTCTCCACACTTGCATGCAAACTCACCGTCTCTTATCTGGTAGGGTCAGGAAGGTGAATTAGTAAACTTACCAGCTGCTGAGATTTGCTTCAGTAATTTTACCTGCATCTGAGAGCAGATAGCATGGAGGGAAGGAAAGAAACTTGGAGGACCTGAAATGAAACATCTCATCTAAGAGCTTCATTATACTTAAGAAGGGAAGATGCAGCAGGTTAAGTCATTACTCCCTAAGGTCCATGAGCTGAACTTTCACTCTTTGGAGAAAGTTATACTAAAACCAAAAACTCAAGCCCAGAAACCTTTCTATATTGCATCTTCTCAATTGTGTAATCCTCCACCTGAGAAGAAAAAAATCCTTTCTGAGTGATGTAGCAATCATTTTACACACTCAAGCATGAAATTTCATCACCATTATCTTAGCTTGGATGACTGTACAGATGTTGTTTGGTCATAAAATGTATTCAGCCCTTTTTACAATCTAACTGAACTATCTGACTCAATGACCTCCTGCAGTAGTCAGTTCCATGGGTTGGGGCTATTCTCTGATGAGGAAAATTTATTTGTATTGACTATAGAATTTGCCAAGGTAGGAGAGGAAGAACTGAATAAAAACTCACTGTCAAAAATGCTTCAGAATGTTATGATCTGCCTATTTTCTTAGTTTCTTCTTTAGTATCCTGCCAAATACTGCCCTTTTTTAGAAGCTGGATCTAGAATAGTTTAAAGGTTCCATTCTTTCAAAATAACTGAAGCTAGAGTCCTCCCACCAAAAGGCACTTAAAAATAAAAATCTGATCCTCAGTTTGGATACTGAGTCCATCTTTATGTGCCATTCAATTACTTAAGATAGACTTTTCTTTTTTTTTTTTTTTTTTTTCCTGCGTGGAGCATGCATAATACAGACATTTATCTGACCTGGCTTTGCTTTTCCATGAATACAAGTAAAGCTATTGCCAACACACTGCTGGAAATGCCATGCACACAACTTCAGCATCTTGTAGAACCTCAGTAACACCCCATGACACTGCCCTGCCTCAGGGTCACTGTGCTGTTCTCATGGCTGGATTAGTGCCTGAGAGGCAAATATACAAGAGGACATTTTGAAAGGACAGCTCTGCTTCAAGGATTAGGGGCAGAAATGAGAATCTCCCTTTCCCTTTCTGAATGTAGTTTTCTCTAGACTCTTCAAGGAGATGGATATGAAATGTGCACATCCACAGCTAGATTTTCCTCCTGGTAAAAGGCTGCAAGTATTGCTGACCATGCATTATGCTGAGGAAGTGCAATGATTGCAGTTGTTTCAGTCATACCTCTCTTAAGCCAGGTTCCTGCATCCAAGGCATTGATCTGCACTTAATAGGACTGAGTCTTATGTGGTCCACCGAAATCTGCCATTACGTATGCTCTGGACTTTTCTGCCTAAATTTCTTCTGCTTTTTTTGAAGTAACAATACAATGTGCCTTAGGAACATGACAGTCTCTGAAAAGTGCTCTGATTTAACTTGAAGAACTTCAGTGGGATGTTTTCCCCTGAAGTTACTGGCCTTTTTATCTGTTTTCTTACATTTGCACTTTTCCCATAAATGAGTTTCTCTTGTGTATGTACTTGTGTTTCCTTCTCAGTGCTTCAACTCGTTTTCTCTAAACATGTCTCCGTTGTGATTCAGTGCTGGTGCCAGTATGTGGTATGCTACCTGTTGAACAACAGATTGGGCACAGTTTGCTCAGTTTTTGGTTCTCTCTGGGAATGTATGCCAATCCCATCAGAGCAAGCACAGTTATTTCAAAAGTAATTTCCAATCAGCAGAACTACCCCAAATTTCCACGTATTTTGAAAGTGGAATCTGAACAGGCATCTCTGGAGCATTTAAAGGTATATGGCACTTGTAAACTTTCACAGGACCCTAATGGGGACTTTGTCCCCTTGGACAGTGTTTCATTGTTTTCCCTGCCAGGGTGCCTATTTTCAAGATCCAGATATTTTTTTGCCTTGACTTCTTTATTTGCCACTCTTGTTATAACTTCATATCCCATTTAATTTGTTCCTCTACATTCTCCACAAAAGAAAGATTAGGAACACTTGTGGAGTCTTATCATATATCCTCTCCTAATTACCTCATGGCTGAACCATACATATATAACTCTTTTTATCTTCCCTCATATGTAAATTCCTTTGGTCCCCTGACCATTTTTGTTTCTCTTCTCTGAACTCTCTCTAATTTGTCAATATGTTTTTGGTAATTAAGATTCCCGCAACTAAATGCAATGTTCCGTATGCCTTCATGCCAGATCCCTACAGACTTTCAGAAAGGGTCACTGCTCACAGCTGGGGCCAGATTTCCAGAAGCACTTTGAACACTGAGTGCTTTTGAAAATGACTATAAAATATAATTATGAGTACTGTTGGCTAAGGAGCATTTTGAAGATCTTAGTTCTTGTGTAGGTGTCTGAATGGAGCTGAAACTGATAAAAAATGTGATGCCATTACAAATGTTGAGCACTTAAATATTTACTTCTAATCTCTTTCAGAATTCTGTCCTGAAAGTAATTTTATTTTTTTTTTCTATACCTTCTGTTTTGTGGTTTCTGTTAGCCTGCATTTGTGTGTGTGATTTTAAGTAGATTGCATTTAGCTTCAAACTCTATCTAAACAGGGGTATTTTTTGTGATGGTTTTGTGTGGGGTTAAGCTAATTTTCTTCATAGTAGTTTTCATGGTACTATGATTTATATTTTTTATTCAAAAAGGGCTGATAATAGATTCAAGTTTTAGTTGTTGCTGAGCAGTGCTTACAGAGTCAAGGATGTTTCTGCTTTTCAAGCTGTCCTGCCAGCAAGGAGGCTGGAGGGAAACAAGGAGTTGGGAGGGGACACAGCCAGGACAGCTGACCTAAACTGACCAATGGATGGCCCATACCATGAGACAGTGTATGTGCTCAGCCATAATAGCTAAAGGGAAAGAGAGGGGAGAGGATACACAGAGTAAAGGCAATTGTCTTTCCAAGTCACCATTTTGCATAATGAAGCCCCACTTTTCTGGAAATGGCTGTACATCTGCCTGCCAATGAAAAACAGAGAATGAATTCCATATTTTACTCTGCTTGTGCACGTAGCTTTTGTTTTACCCATTAAACTGTCTTTATCTTATCCCGTGAGTTTTCTCAGTTTTACTCTTCTGATTCTCTCCCACATCCTGCTTGGGAAAGGTGAGTGGGAGTTGGGTGGGACTTAGCTGCCTATTAAGGCTAACTCTCAGCAATCTGCATCTTGTGGGAAAGATGGATTGAAAGTAGTTAATATGCATGAAAGAAATAAGCAAATAAATGAGACAGAATGCTTTGTTCAGTGTTTTTCTTCCTATGAATGCTCACATTTTTGTTCCAGATTTGTTTATTAAGATATTTTCTCTGTGGAAAAAACAAGACTGTCTTTCTTCTTAACCAGTTTAACCAACACTGTCGTAGCATTAACTTCTGGACCATCACAAAGATGTGTCCAGCTCTCAACTACTTTCTTTCAGGTCAGTCAGGATTTTATTTTTTCTCTTCTGGGGGCAGAGGCGAAGACTATCCCATCCTCTTTTTCTAACTCTCCAGAGCACTCAGTGACAAAAGAATTTGGTTAGCAAGTTTTTAAATACCATGCCTTTAGGAACCAATAATCATTAATGTAAAGTGCAGAATATTGTGCTTTAAAATCAGTACCAACAAAAAATAATAATTATTATTATTCTTTCACTGTTTCCTCTACTTAGCTTCACATCATATAGCACTGAGAGGAGGGGAGGGAGAAGCACTCTTTGGGTTTTATTTTAAGAGGGAGCAAAAAATTGCAAAAGAACTGCACTGAGATATAAATTACAGAAGATTAAACAATCCGGATACTCTTCTGTAAACATATTCACTAAATAGTTAAAAATATGTTTATGATGTGTCTAACAGAGCCATTCCAATGTATCAGTTAAATATGTTTTCATAATGTTTTAAAAGGAATATTATTTACCCAGAAGACCAGAACAGTTTCTAAAAGAGCTTTTCCAGTCCATCGTGTAAATATGTATTTAGGACAAGTGCTGTGTGTACAGGATTAAAAAAAATCCTCTGAAAATCTCTTTGAAAAGTTATTACACATGTCCACTGCTGCAGCAAAATTTTAAATATTCATATCTCAGCTGTTTCTTTTTTTCAGAATTCTCAATTTGGGTTGAATATATTGCACGTGAAGTGCAATTGCAAGAGCTTCTTCATTTGTTGAATGTTAACAGGCTTATGTCCCAAAGCTCATGTGTATGAAGCTACACATAGGCTTAAATCTTTACCAAATTTTGGGATTCGCTTTGGTAGGCCAAACATTCATGTGTAAAGAATTGTCTTCTTTACATGCTCACAAATAAGGAGAGAGAATTTATCTACCTCTTTTTTCTCTCTCCCATTTACTTTTGACAATTATCTGCATGCAATGAGGTGTCTCCAGTTTCTAGGCTCTGATGTGAATAAGAAGGTCCATACTGCCCAGCAAAGCATCATCAGATAAAGCCCTCCAGGGGTTGTTTCAGAGATCTCCAGTGAATAATGCTGGAAGATAGAATAAATAGATTTAATGAGAGGTGTATATCCGATATTTTGAGATTTTGAGCTTGTACTGACCTTTCATTGTAATACCAGTTGAACTGAACAGGCAAAAAAAAATTGAGAGGGACAATTATTGGGATCAGGGGGAAACAAATTTACGGTGTCAGAGTATGAAAGCATACAAATATGAAAAAATTAGACGTACAACATCATGGCAATTACAAGGAGTAAGTTTGAAGTGTCTGAGCAAACATTTTGCATGCTTTCATTCTTTCACAATGCTCTGAGATACTATTAAATTCTCAATAGAGGAACGTATTTTTTAATATGAAAACTGACAGCTGCCTTGAGTTTCGGAAGTGTAGATACAGATCCAAATTTTGAAACAGTCTGAAGTTCTTCCTTTGAGTTAAAGGCAGTAAAAACTTACCTTGCTTACTGAAAAACAATCAGCCTGAATCTTTTTTTTAATGAATATATTTACATACAAAAATCCTATTTTTGCAAAATTCTTGTTGTGGAATCTGTCATGGCATTTTTCACCAGCATTTTAATTGAAATATCTCTCAAATCTGTACCTGAAAGCAAAGTTTTCAAGTGTCAATTTGGCCTGGAGTTCAAGTTAAAAAGCAAACAAACAAACATAAAACTAAAAATTACACTTAATGCTATGCAAATAAAACATCAACAATTTCTATAGAAATACTTTTCAATTCTGGAAAACATGTATTTAAGAGTGGATTTTTGTTCTGTCTTCTGCCAAACTTTCTTTCTGTAATTTCTCTATATTTGACTAATCAGAGTTGTAGCAAAGGAGCAGAGCAAAAAATACTCCATCATACTTTGGAGCTTGTCTAATTACTTTATTGTTATTGCTAATGTGATTGGTTTGTGTAAGATTCTGTTTTCTGAATTTCATTCAAAGTCCAGAAAATTGTATTTGTTATTATTGTTTTACTCAACCAATCTCATTTTTGCTCTTCTAGAAATTCATGACCATCAACAGATCTAATTTTTTTCTATGCCTACAAGTGAACCATCTTGTTCATAATGACATATCACACAGACTGTTCTACTTTATGCCTATCAGAGGCAATACTATTTTCTGTGGATATAGGCAATATATTTTCAAATACAAATATAAGGTTGCATCTATGTACTATAAATTTAAGGCCTTCCAATTTTATTTAATTTCTTTTTTTCTTAGTTAATATAAGCATTGTTCCCAAATTTTTGTCGTATTTAGAGATGTTCCATTCACATATTAGAAAACTTGTTTTCAAGCCACCTTCTGCACATAGCACAAAATTTTGATGACCTTAATTATTAATTTTTAACCTGATAATTATTAATAATTCTGTGAGTACCTTAGTGTCTTGTGCTTTCTATGATCCTTTAAAGCTTCATTAGTACTCTTATATTTGATATTTCAGCTTAGATTATCTCCTGTGGCTTTTGTCGTGATTTGGCTATGTTTTCCATTTTTTTCCAAAAGGGATATCTGCTTATTATTAGGAGTTATTATTAGGAGCTTGCACAGCCTACTTAAACACAAACATATTGCCCTATTGAATCGCTTTCTTGATCTTGTATGTCTTGTGTTCTAGTTGTTTTCAACATCAGCAGTTATTGCAAGTAGCTTGAGGAAACATTAAACTGCTAAAAACTATTCTAATTCTAGATCACTGGCTTTTATCTATATAAAGTTGATCACTATCAGATAGGAAATCTATACAGGAGAAAAGGTGGTTTCTGACCAGCAGATAGGAAGAATCTGTTAAAATATAGAGCTTACCATCTATTATAATACAGATAATAAGACCTAAAGGGCTTACATTTGCACTCCTTGAATATAATGATAGAACCTCAGTTTTTGTTTCACTGGGTGAAGATTTGGGCTTGAACCTACAGATGACAAAGTTGTAATTTTTCCTGTGTTACACACCAGGCAGTGTAATTCACTTCTTGATTCCTTGCGAATTACATACAACTTATATGATTTTACTTTGAAGCCTGATTACATTAAAACTGTGCCGATCTTAACATTTTTTAAACTATTCTGTGCAAAACATCTCCAGTCCATGAATAAAGCATTTTTTCTTCTAATGTCTAAGAGGCGGCCCCGTAGCCTGCATCTCCTGAGGGCTGGCTGTAGGGGCACCTCGGGCAGTACGGGGTTGCCCTTGCCTGGCTGCAGGGGCACGTTGGGCAGAACGGGGATGCCCTTGCGTGGCTGCAGGGGCACGTTGGGCAGAACGGGGCTGTAAGTCCCGTGGCGTCATAGTGGTTGCTGCCCTCATGGCCACTGCAAAGCATGAGCCAAGACCAGGGACCCTGCAGCTGTGATGCTTCTGGGTGCTGGGAGAGTCCTACTGAGGAGGGCTAGATGGCACAGTGAGGACCATGAAGGGCAGAGTGCTGTGAAGGAGCACAAATGGCAGCCAGCATCTGTCTGCTGCTTGGTGGCAGCACGGAGTGAGGCAGAGGCTGGCACTGTTGCCATGCTGGGGCTGCAGCAGGGCCTGACAGGCTGTGAGCAGTGTGCTGTTTGGCTTGCTGGGGGGTGTCTTCCTTGGGGTGCTTAGCTGGCCGGGGCCCTATGGGTGCCACTGCCAGTGTGCCTTCTGGCTCTGCTGCTTGTAAGCTCCTCTCTGGCCCAGCATCTGCTCTCTGCCTAGGCTGAGCAGCTGGACTGCTCCTCTGCAGGCTCTCATTCAGAGCCTCCTACAGGGCAGGGGCAGGAGCAGCCACATCTCTTCTGGGCTGCTCTTTGCTTACAGAGTTTGAGCAGCTGTGGGTAGTCTCTCCTGAAGTATGAGCTGGAGTAGAGTAGCTGAAAAATGTAAAGGAGAAGAGTTAGCTGCTGTCAGTGTGGGACTGAGGAGCAGGGCAGAGGTTGGCACTGTTGTCACACTGGTGCTGCAGCAGGGCCTGGCAGGCTGTGAGCAGTGTGCTGTTGGGCTGAAGTGATGTCTTCCTTGCAGTGCTTGACTGATGGGGGCCCCATGGGTTCTGCTGCCTGTGTGCCTTCTGGCTCTGCTGCTTGTAGGCTCCTCTCTGGCCCAGCATCTGCTCCCTGCCTAGGATGAGCAGCTGGACTGCTCTTCTGGGAACTCTCATTCTCAGGGGCAAGGGCAGGAGCAGCCAAATCCCTCCTCTTCTGGGCTGCTCTTTGCTTGCAGTGTTCCAGCAGCTGTGGGTAGTCTCTCCTGAAGTATAAGCTGGAGTAGAGCAGTGACTGAAAAATGTAAAGACTTAGCTGCTGTCAGTGTGAGGCTGAAGGTCAGCAAGATACAGGAACTAGCACTTCTGATGGCTAAGGTCAAATTCGGGTATTAACAAGACTTATCAGTGCCTTTGTTTCAGCTGGAATGGAATTGCATACTTCAGCATGTGTATGATGCTATGGATTTGTTCAAGCAGAACACCAGTGTTTATGCCGCAGCAGTGTTTGTTGCTGCTAAGCAGTGTTGTACAGAGCCAAAGACATTCCCAGCAGAGGGTCTGAGGAGTTGGGTGGGAATAGAGTTAGGACAGCTGGTTTAAATGGGCAAAGGGATATCCTATGCCGTACGACATCAAATGATGGGGGTATGAGTTAATCTGGCTCTCTTATGCTGCTCAGGAGCTATCTGGACTTGAGTCAAGGGTTGGTGAGCAGTTGCTTTTGCATCTCTTATTATATTTGTTCAGATATAGATATAAATACAGATACGTGCAGGCTACTGTTATCCTTTTTCTTGTCTTTACCTTAGTAAATATTTTTTATCTCAACCCACAAGTTTTTTTCCCCACTTCTCTCCCTCATCCCACTGGGAAGGGGGCAAGCGAGTGAATGACAGTGTGGTGCTGAGTCGAGCCACCTGCCAGGTTAAACCACACCTATTGGTCAATTTAATCCTACGGATTAGGCTGACTGCAACAAAATATTTTGTGAATGTATAGTCCCCGTTTGTGTGAGGAACAGTATAAATACTTAACCTTCCTATAGGCAGACAGCACTTCTTCCTTGGCCAGAAACTCAAAAAGGGAAGGAGATCTTTCAAGGTCCCATGGAACTCTGGTGAATCTGTAGAGGTTGAGCTGGTGAACAGAGCTCTCTCCCAGAGGTTCTCGCAGGTGCTCTCCTTTGCCAGAATTTCCACCATAAACATTTCTTCTTTAATTACGAGGCATTTTCCTCCGTGACCCCACCAAATACTCTCCATGTGATCACTTTCCACCAGAACCCAGAGTTTTTGTGGGAAGCTGAGCAATGAGAACACACTGACCAAGCCAGTGCTTTCCTCAAATGAACTCTGAGGTAAACCTTTTGTTTTCTCCTCACTGGGATATGATTCTGAGCCCCTTTCTTCCATTATGGATTCCTGCAGAATCGCCAGCTGGTGCTTGGTCCCATCCTGGATGCTCACTAAAAGCAGAGCCTGAAATCTCGACCAGTTCCTTCAGATCGGTAGCAGAAGCTGTTTTAGCTGCCAATGGCTCATTTCCATTCCTCCTGTCTGGTTTTGAAAGAAGGTTGTGTGTGCAGCCACTTGTGCAGCAAGCCAGTTGTCCCCCGCCTGCTGGCAAGGGAAGTCAACCGGTGCTGCCTGGGGGTTTCGGTGGGAGATGCTCAGGCGTCACCATGGTGCCCTCCTGTCATCACAGTGACATCATCGTCATGTGGTGTCCAAGGCCAGGCTGGCTGGAGCCACCTGAGCCGATGTCACTGAGCTGCACTTGTTGCTGGTCCTGCCCAGTGCCGTGGCTCTTCAGAGTTGAGTCAAAAGACAAGCTGTGTTGCAAGGAGATCACTCCTCACCTAGGCTTTGCTTCCCCTTCCCTGTGTGCTTGCCGAGTATCTCCCTGCTGGCCTCCTAAGTGTCCTCTAGCTCTCCACATGGTTTGGAAGACACTTTCCCAAGCACTGGTAGCAGAGAATAGCAGTCTCTTCCCAGTTTGTGTTCACCTCTTGCAAATACTCTGTGGTTTCCATTGCAGAACTTGTGCAAGGGAGTAGCTGTGCGTCCAGGCGATGCTCTGCAATGTCAGCAGTGGCACAGAGGCTGCTTTCTAGGTCTAGCTTGAACAAAGATGCTAAATACAAGTGTACAACTCCTATTTGGTTCCTTTGCTTTTGGTTTGGTATCTTAGAAATAGAGAAAGCAGCCAACAAAATCAGAGATGTTCTCTAAGCCTTTTAAATCACAGCCCTGTGTACAGGATCAAGCGCCTTCTTTATAAAGGCAAGGTGTGATCTAGAGGCATTGTCTAGATGCAAGTCTGAAATTCCTGCTAATCTTGAGGACAACACAAACATGGAGGAGCTATAGAGGTCCTCAGATGCAGAGAGGACTTGCTGAGGTCTTCGCGCAACCTGGTTTAGTGGGGAGGTGTCCCAGCCTCCAGCAGGGGCGTTGGAATTACATGGTCTTAGATTTCCCTTCCAACTCAAACCATTGTGGGATTCTATGATCTATGATTTAATCTTGGTCATTAAGAGGGCTGGGCAATCAGCAGCCAGAACCAAAAGCATGTTCTGATTTTTGCCTGTGGGGCTGCCACTGCTCATTGAACAGGGGTGGTTGGGAGGCTGGAGAGCAGCCCCAGGAAAGGAGTGTAGGGGTTCCGATTAATGGCACATGTATGAGACTTGAGCTCTGCTCTAAAACAAATGTAGTTCAAAGATCCTATGGGAACTCGGAGCTGACAGGGCTGAAGGCTCCAGTGGCTTCCAGTGGGAAGAAGGAACAGTCACAACAGAAGGGTCATCGAAGGGAAATCTCAGATTAACTTAATCATAAGTGTTATTACAAGTTCAACTTAATTTATGCTGGAAGCATCCATTCTCCTGGAGAATACAGATTATGGTAATGTGCATCCGTGGGGATGGAGTTACAGGTATACAGGAGTGACAGACTGATAACAAACGATGCCCCAGTGTGGGGAAATATAACCTGAAGCCATGAAGATGATCAGAGGATTGGAGCACCTCCTCTACAAGAACAGTGTGAGAGACCTGGGGCTTTTCAGCCTGGAGAAGAGAAAGCTCCGAGGAGACTTTATAGCAGCCTTCCAGTAAGTGCAAGGGGCCTACAGAAAAGCTGGGGAGGGACTTTTCTTAAGGGCATATAGTGACAGGACAAGGGGAATTGGTTTTAAACTGGAAGAAGATAGACTGAGACTAGATGTTAGGAATAAATTCTGTACTGTGAGGATGGTGAGACACTGGAACAGGTTGCCCAGTGACATTGTGAATGCCCCCTCCCTGGAAGCATTTAAGTTCAGGCTGGATGGGGCTTTGAGCAACCTGGTCTAGAGGGAGATGTCCCTGCCTATAGCAGGTGGTTGGAACTAGATGATCTTAAAAGTCACTTCCAGCCCAAACCATTCAATTATTCTGTGATTCAACCAAAGTGCAAGTTTTTTCCCTTGGGTCGAGGTAATCCCATTTAGTGTCTGATGACACTAGGTTGATGAAAATTTTGGCATGAGCCAGTACTGTGTGCTTGCAGCCAGGAAGGCCAGTGGTATCTTGGGTTCCATAAGAGGGATGGCCAATAGCATTGGGAGCCAAGAGGGAGGGGATTGTCCCCTCTGTTCTGCCCTCATGAGGACCCAGCTGGAGTATTGCATCCAAGCCTGGGGGGCCCAGTGCAGGAGAGATGTGGGGCTTTTGGAGAGGGTCCAGAAGAGGGATTGAAGATGATCCAAGGACTGGAACACCTCTTCTATGAAGACAGGCTGAAGGGACTGGGCTTGTTCAGTCTAGATTAGAGAAGACTGCAGGGAGAGCTCATTGCAGCCTTTTAGTATTTAAAAGAAGTTTATAAACATGTAGGAAATCAACTTTTTACATGGGTAGATAGTGAAAGGAGAAGGGGGAATGGTTTTAAACTAAAGGAAGGGGGATTTAGATTAGATGTCAGGGGGAAGTTTTTTTCTGAGAGAGTGGTGAGGTGGTGGAATAGACTGCCCAGAGAGGCTGTGGATGCACTGTTCCTGGAGGTGTTCAAGGCCAGGTTGGATGGAGCCCTGAGCAACCTGATCTAATACTTGATCTAACAGTTCACAGCCCTGCCTGTGGCAGGAGGGTTGGAACTTGGTGTTCCTTGAGATCCCTTCAACCCAAGGCATTTTATGATTCTGTTAGTAGCCATTTGATGCCAAGCCATTTATGATTCTGTTATGATTCTTTGAGTAGTATTTTTGACATTTGGGCTGTAGCGGTGTCTATTCAGAGGATTGGTAGATTTAAGAAAAGACTTAGAGGAACATCATGAACATTTTGTAACAATGGTAGCATCAAAGTCCCAGTTTGCAGAAATATTTGTCTTGCAATAATCTGCTCTCCCACTTTGGTAAATAATATTTTATTCAGTAGCTAATTTGACCTGGGGAGACTTGCAGAGATAATTTTCTGCTGTTGACAAAAGTCTCAGTCCTTTCTATCTTGTTACTTAACAATCCCATAAGTTGTTCAAATTTTACTTCAGATGAAATACCTATTTCCATTACTTTAGTATATTCACTCACCTATTTCTTATCACCTGTTTCAGCCAGAAAAAAATTGAATTCAAGGTATTACTATACATAGATCTAGGAAGAACTTGAACACTGATCTTTCTATTGGTTTTTGAGTATGTGAAGAGTTTGTGAAAGTTTTGTGCTTTGTTTTTTTTTTTTTAGAAAATTAGAGTAAAAAAATAAAACATAATCACAGTTAACACTTCCCCATGTGTTTTTTTTTTTCTTTTGTTTTTAAATAATGAAAACAAAAACATTCTAGATAAGGTCAGGACATTTTTGTTTAGAAATGCTACTGTAGCCTCTCACAGTAGAGCTCCTTATTGACAGTTCAGCTTCCTTTTCAAACAATATCTACTGTTAAGTCTCACTTCCCTCCTTTGGGAAGGTGTCTTAATAGGAATTCCTTTTTATGTGGTTTTGGAAAAAGAAGTGACCGGCATTTCTAGTGACAGATGATAGTATAGATTGCAGTTGCCTGTGATACTAAAGGTCAGTATTTTTAGATGGGAAGAAAAAGGAGGAGGTTTTTTTGATACAAAGAAAGAAATAATGCTAAAATATTCATCTAGTTGAAAACACAAGTTCCCGTGAGTAAAACAATATAATTGAGAAAAGTGCATTTATTTTTAAGTAGAATTATTTATATTTTAAATTACTGGAGTGCAGATCCATGAAAATTATTTACCCTCCTTTTGGAGTGCAACAAAAGGTAACTTTTCCACCTGAAGTATTCATCTTCATTGGAGACATTTTCTAACAGGAACAGCTAGGATTTTGATTTTTCACTGTTTTTTATTTTGCTTCTTAGAAGTAACTTTTTTTTTTCAGTCACAGACTGCAATAAGTTACTTTCTCAGGATGGAAATTGTATGTTTTAAGAAAATCATAAAAGTACAGACAATTTTGTAGGGCTATGAAGCTGGGGAGAGATCTAAAGAGAGGTCAGGATGTGTGAGGGCCCTGTGTTGGTTCAGCGCAGAGCAGAGGAGCTGAGGGGAGGCCTGATGGCAGCTGCAGCTCCTCACGGGGAGTGGAGGGGCAGCGCTGAGCTCTGCTCTGTGTGACAGCGACAGGGCCCGAGGGAACGGCATGGAGCTGTGTCAGGGGAAGGTGGGTGGAGGTGAGGAACAGGTCTGCACCAGAACGTGGTCAGACCCTGGAACAGGCTCCACTGTCACTCCATTTGCCTTATCTGTGCCTAACAGCGTGAGGCCCAGTACATCAAGGACCTGAGCTATGACTGAAAGTCAAGTAAAAGAAAAAGAGCTTTGGCAAAAACATGGAGACCATAAAACCATGTGGTAATTAATGTATAAACAATCCCTCATGAATATAGAATCTGAAAGCGAGGTCTTAAGGAACGAATGAAGTTTCTCTGTTTTTCTGGAAAGCCATGTGTTTTTCATATCCATGTTTATCTATTAGTCTGCATACGTTGTCATGGCAAACCATGTGTAAAAGGGGTATAAAGTCAGAATGCTGGAAGACAGCTTTTGAAGCTCCCCTCAACCAGCCTGAAACCCTGCCTCCCTCCCGCTTACAAGTTCCCCTTGTCCCCCTCACATCCCATCCCACAACAGACACATTGACGAGACAGGTTATATAACCTTTCCTACTCTAATTTACCTTACCTGGAATTTGTATAACCTTATCCAACTTTATCTACCCTTACCTACCCTAATTTACCTCCCCCACCTCCTAAGATACTGATTAGTCATATACAAATGCATAGTTTGCTTAGAATACATGTGATTATAGATGATATGTGCAGCAGTTTGCTCAAAATACATTTAATAAATTGTTTTGGTGTACCTAATTTGTGTCAGTGAAGTGCATCATAGTCACTGTCTTCTTGCTGGGTGAAACAAACCAATGGAATGCAGTGGGACACATCCAACTTGGGATATTATGCAGATACTTAGGATATTCAGTGTTAACTTTGACTTTAACAACAGGAACAACAAAAAATCATAATTTACTTTTTACTATTTTTCATACTTTTCTATATATCAAGGAACCATTAATTCCATATGCATTTTACACAAACTAATAAATGAAGAAAGATTGATGGAAGTGAAGACTAAAACTGAGATGGCTTCTATGCCTTAGAATATGACTTGCAACATCAACAGAGTCTCTGGTACCTGGAGGCACCTGAGACCTAGGAACATGATGTAAGAGAACAACTGCATGATCATAGCATAGATTCATTGCATTTTGTAATGTGATGTGGGTGGTGTGTGTTTGAATTTTCTTGAATTAATGAAGGCACTGAATCCAGAACTCCCCACATTCCAATCAATGAGCCATTAAATGTAAGGAACTGTGGTGACTTTCTCAGCTCTTCTGACCAGATTTTTTAATTAGAGATGATAAAATCATCACTTCTAGACTTAATATTGTCACAATATGTCAGTTTTTCTTGGCACATACTGAATGGAAAGTCCATGGGACCTCTGAACTGTTGTTGTTCTCTGTAAGGAGACAAATTGTTAAATGACTCATGAAGATCAAGGTAACAAAAATGTTGTAGGCCCTCAGGCCATTGTTTCCATCCTCACGCTTTCCTTTCTGCTTTGTGTTTTTGGGGCTACTTCTGAACTGGATCAGGAAACTCATTAGTTTGTAAATAACTCACGAACAACCCCAAACAGTTGCGCAAATGTTTAAGAGGGACAGCATGTGGTAATACTGGGAGGCAGGATGGCTCAGAGGCTATTTACACTGACCTGTTACTGAAAGAAATGTTCTTCAAACTGTTATTTAAGCCACTAGACTCCATTCTGTCTCTTGCTCTCTACGCTTTCATCCTGCTTGCAATTCATATCCCCTACAGTAATGGCTAATCTTAAGAACTTCAGTTGTCATTAAGGGTTAGATTTTTATTTTTTTTTAACAGGAGAATTTCTTCTTCTTCTTCTTCTTCTTCTTCTTCTTCTTCTTTTTTTTTAATTCAGTTATCCCTAGTTGGCCTGTGGAATGTATTTCAACAGATGGTCATGGAGTTTTAAATGCTGTGAGTAGATTTTTAATAAGTCTGACTAATTTTATGATCATTGAAGTTCATGTGCATTCAGCATTCCCACTGACTTCAACAAGAAGGGATGAATGTGCAAAAAAGATTGAGATTGCACTCAGCTGCTATCACTGGCAGCTCAGATAAGTAAGAGAATTTTGACCTCATTCACTGGACTATAACAGGTACAATTGTTTTCCTCTATTTGGCTTAAATGTACTTCGGGGCTTCTTCCCTCCTTGGCAGCATTACATATTGGCCACAGCTGAAGGGAGAAGTGAGAGTAGCTTTCTGATCAACTATGATGAAATACGTGTTTCTTAAAGTGGTGTAATGTGTGAGCAGCTCTGGCTTCTTCCTTCAGTGCATAGAAGAGTCCACCATCACTGTTAAAAACCCTAGTTCATTTTTCTTCTTTCCAGTCTGAGTGTTTTTTTTCTCCTCCTTTTTTAAATTCAGTGAAGGAGATCACAATGCTTCTTTGAAACCTTACATGTTGTTGTTTCTATGCCAGAAGGTGATACGTCATGGAGAG